GTGCATTTCGTAATCGTTTTATTGAATTACATTTTGATAATTTACCGCAAGATGAATTAGAAATAATTATTGAAAAAAAATGTCAATTACCAAAATCCTATTCAAAATTATTAATCCAAACAATGATTGATTTACAAAAATATCGTTCACAAAAAGGTATTTTTGCTGGTAAAACAAGTTTAATAACATTACGAGATTTATTTCGTTGGGCACAACGTTACACAAAATATCAAAATAATTGTCAAAATTATAAACAATTTTTAGCTGAACATGGATATTTGTTATTAGCTGGGAGATCAAGAAATTTTGAAGATAGAAATTTTATTAAACAAATTATTGAAAAATATTTCTGTGAAAAAAAAATGATTATTGATGAAAATGTTTTATTTGGTGAACAAGGTAGTTCATATTCAACTGAACAAATTTGGGCTCAAATTAAAAATAATAATCAATTAAAACATATTGTTTGGACACAACCATTAAGACGATTAGCAATACTTTGTGCATTATGTATTGAATTTGATGAACCTGCTTTATTAGTTGGAGAAACTGGGTAAGATTTTTTTTCTCTTTTAGAAATTTTTTATAGAAAATTCTTTTATTAGATGTGGAAAAACTACAATATGTGAGATATTAGCACAAATAAATAAACAAAAATTATTTACTATTAATTGTCATACAACAACTGAAAGTGCTGATTTTCTTGGTAGTATTCGACCTGTTCGTCGAAATGAACAAAATTCTAATTCGGAGAATAATAATCCAGGTTTATTTGAATGGCAAGATGGTGCTTTAGTATGTTCAATGAAACAAGGTGCTCTTTTTCTTATTGATGAAATCTCATTAGCTGATGATAGTGTTCTTGAACGATTAAATAGTGTTTTAGAACCGGAAAAAGAATTAGTTTTAGCTGAAAAAGGTTATAATAATGAAGATCAACATATTGATATAATAAAAGCTCATGAAAAATTTCGTTTAATTGCAACAATGAATCCTGGTGGAGATTTTGGAAAAAAAGAGGTTTGATTTTTTAGAAAAAGAAAATTTCATTAAAAAAAAAACAAAAATCATTTTATTTAGCTTTCACCAGCATTACGCAATCGTTTTACTGAAATATGGTGTACACCTAGTGAATCTATTGATGATTTATATTCAATTATTGTGCATAATCTAACAATAAAGAATGAAGATCAACGAAAAGAATGCGCCACGCTGATGTGTAATTTCATTCAATATCTTCGAACAATAGCAACAACAAAACGGTAAAAGAATTTTCTTTTATTGATAAGGCTTGTTAGCGTAGCAGTGTTTTATTCAAAGGGTGGGCGCCGCCAACCCTAAAATTCGATTCGCCCATCAGAAAAACGAAAAATAGATAAAATACTGCAGTGTAGTCGCATTGGGGTTGTCACATATATTCGTATCAAAGACATCTGATGATCTTTAAGTCCGTGGTCTTCCTTTATTTCTGAAAGAAAATGTATTTATTGGTACTGAAAACTTTTAAAGGTGCGACAGAGAATTTGCTATGTAATAGAATTTGACTGTAGTGCATTTTGAAGAGTGTTGCGAACTAGCAAAGTTGAATTCAAAATTTATGATCATAACTTCTTCTGAAGGGTCGATGGGTAATATATTAACCTATTATTCCTGGACAGCTGCAAAACTTTCACTTATACTCACTATTTTTCTTTTATAGTATATTAACAACTGTTCGAGATATACTTAGTTGGATATCATTTATAAATTTAAATACAAATAATTGGCAATATTCCTATGAACATGGTGCTTATTTAGTTTTTATTGATGCATTAGATTCACAATCATCATTAAAGCAATCAATTATTGAATTTGTAACAAATCAACAGACACAAATATCGAAATTAACACTAACAATAGAAATGAATTCAAATAATTTAACATTTGGTTCATATTCAATTCCACGTGGAACAATTAATTCTAATGATAAAGATGAATATAGTTTTAAAGCACCAACAACATTATCGAATATTCAACGACTATTACGTGCAATGCAATTAACAAATAAACCTATTTTAATTGAAGGTAATCCTGGTGTTGGAAAAACAAGTTTAGTTATGGCATTAGCAAAATTAGCTGGTTATTCTTTTATAAGAATTAACTTATCTGAACAAACAGATATAAGTGATTTATTTGGTTCAGATTTACCAGATGTTGAAAGTGGACAAGCTGGAAAATTTAAATGGCATGATGGACCTTTATTAACAGCAATTAAAACGAATCAATGGATTATTCTTGATGAAGTAATTTCTTTTATTTTATTTAGAATTGATTAGTAGACCAATAAATTTCTTTTTCTGTTTAGCTCAATTTAGCTAATCAATCGGTATTAGAAGGATTAAATGCATGTTTAGATCATCGTGGTGAAATTTATATTCCTGAATTAAATCGAACATTTCATATTCATGATAAACAAACATCTGTTCCATTACGTATATTTGCTTGTCAAAATCCATATGGACAAGTTAGTGGACGAAAAGGTTTACCAAAATCATTTTTAAATCGTTTTACAATTATTTATTTTTCAATACTTGAAAGAATTGATTTAAAAATCATTTGTCAACAATTATATGAACAAATTTCGGATGATATTATTGATAAAATGTTAAATTTTAATGAAAAAATTCAACAAGAATTTAATATTAACCAATGGGATTTTAATTTACGTGATTTATTAAAATGGTGTCAAATGTTTAATGAAAATAATCTAAATAAATATAAAGCATTAAATTTAATTTATATTAAACGTATGCGTACACAAAAAGATCAAGATCAGATTAAACAAATATATGAACAAACAACGGGATGGAATATTCAACCAATTGAAGTTGATTTTCAAATAAATTCAAAAATATTACAGGTAAATATATATCATACATGGGCAAAATCATTTGTTAGCGACATGATGAAGTACGAACATACTAAAGAAAAGCCATTTCTATAATTCAATGAGAAGAAATCGAAAAGATACAAATCTTTCCTTAAGAGCTTGAGAAAATCATAAGGTAGGTATTTTTGTTTTGCGACTTCATGGGATCAGTGTTTTACCCAAGTTTCTTCTTTTGAGTGCGTAAATCGAAATGTCGGGTGGGCGAAATGAAAACTCCAGGGGGGGGGGGGGCGACGCTCATCAGTACTTTGTCTAAATCTCGTTTTTCGGATGGGTGCCGCCCACTTAGTCTGCCCGCTAGATAAAACACTGGATGAGATCTCGTTTTTATGAAAACTTTTTTATCATAGATGTGCCTTGGATCCGAAAGTCTACTCACACAGTTTCAGATTTTCTCCTCATTTAATGCGATCAATATTCACTAATTACTGATGAATTAATTTTAACTAAATAGTAGATGAAAATGCCAGGATATCTATGTCTCTGCCAAAAGAATTTAATCTAGAGAAACATGTAATTCTAACATTTCAATAATATTCTTTTAGATTGGTACAACTGTATGGCCGCGTGAATCTATACGCCTTCCAACATTATCTTTAACTCATCCATTATTATTAATGCGTCATCAATTAGATAATCTTTCATCCATATTAGAATGTTTATCATTATCATGGCCAATACTTTTAGTTGGTCCATCATCTCGTTCATCCAAATCAACTTTAATACATCTATTGTCATGTTTATGTGGTCATCAATGTCATACATTTGAATTAAATTCTTCTATTGATACAAATGAATTATTAGGAAATTATGAACAATTTAATTTTCAACAATATGCTAAATATCATTTAGATTTATTAAAACAAGAATATTACAAAAAAAATCAAACAAATCTATTAAATGAAATCAATTATGAGAATAAACAAATAACAATTGAATATTTAAATGAATTAAAACAATATTTACCATCCAATGAAATTGATAAATTAATATCAAAATATTCACAAGAACAACATTTTGTTTGGATTGAATCAATCTTAATATGTTCAATGAGACAAGGAGATTGGTTAATACTTGAAAATGTTAATACATGTTCATTAAGTGTTTTAGATCGTTTAAATTCATTATTAGAACCGAACGGACAATTGATCTTAAATGAAGGTGGTGGACAAGGTTCAGTTATAAAACCACATAAAGATTTTCGACTTATTTTAACTATGGATCCAAAACAAGGAAATGGAGAAATTTCAAGACCAATGAGAAATCGTTGTTGTGAAATTTATATTGACGGTCAACAAGAATATAATCATTATGATTCTAAAGAATTATTACAAGCTTGCCAAATTTATCAAGAAAAACAACAAGAAGATTTTATTCAAATTCATAATATACTTTGTCAAAAAGGTTAGTCAATATTTAATTAAATACATATATATATATAAATATTCTTATGATTTATTTTAGTATCAACATTTGCATTTCATAATTTAATTCGTGCATGTTTATTATTCAATGAATTATCTCATACAACAAATGAACCATTTCGTTTATCAATAAAAACAGCATATCGAACATTAAATACTCGTTTAAATAATGAAATTGATTTATTAATTGATGAATTTCAACCCAATTCAATATCTTCAAATTTTCTTATATTTCCAACACGAATAAATGATTTATGTTTACAACCTGAATTAACACTTTCATATAAACGAAATCTTCCACTTTGGTCTTGTTCATCTAAAGATAATTCAAGAATATTTCATTTATTATTCTATCGTTTTATTGAAAAACTATCAACGATATCAATTGAATATGATTTATTTATTTCCAAACATCCACAACAAATAAATTTAATAAATTTATCCAAAGAAATTAATAATATAAATAATAATGTATTATTAAGAATATTAGTTGAACATGATTCTCTTACAAAACAATATAGAAAAAGTGTCAAAACAAAATATATTGATGAACAATTATTTTTTGAAAATACAGATGGACAATTTTGGTTAGCTATGAAAGATTATTTTCTCAGAGCTTTATCTTCGTAAGTACTTTAATAAATAGAGTGTCAATAAGTTGTTAATTTCTAATTTGGATTAAGTATTTCTATTAATAATGTTTTCGATTTACTTGTAAGAGATACCCCGAGAAACAAAAATCAATGTACAGTTTAGATATATCTTTTCTTCTATTTTACAAATAGTCAATACGACCCAGGGGTGGCTCAGTCCTTATTACGAAGTATTTTATTCATTATGGGACTCAAAATCTCGTAGAGGGAACCGAATTCTTCCCCCTAGTTTCAAATCCGGAAACTCAAAAGATGCGTGCGGGTGAGGGCAGGTGAAATTGAAAGGGTTTGTTTTGTTTCCAAACCCTCATCCGCATCTTTCGAACACTCTTTCTGAGCTTCTTATCTCAAGCAGACAAAAAATTGGAAAAACGCGTTTAAACGCTCAATCGGAAACCGCGATTGTAACCCATTCACGCTTAATAATAAAATGCCATAAACGGCGTTTTGGACATAAAATCTCCACCTTTATAACGTTAAAACGCGCGTTTATCTTAGAGTTTAAAATCCATGCGTTTAAGCGTTAAAAATAGGAGTTTTCCACCGTTTTAATGTTATAAAGGTGGTGACTTTACGTCCAAAACGCCGTCTATGACGTTTTATTATTAAGCGTGAATGAGTTACAATCGCGGTTCTTGATTGAGCACTTAAACGCTTTTTTCCAATTTTTTGCCCGCTTGGGTCGAAATAATAGATTTACATCCAATTTCTAAATTAACATTTTTCTTCTTCTATACGACTAAAACATATCACTTGAATTTTATTTCATTAGATCTGATTTAATTAATGATAATGACTTATCATTTTCATATTATCGTTCATGGCGTTGGTTTCTATCAATAATTGAATCACCATCAACAAATTTAATAAATCGTCGTCTTCATTTGATTATTGCATGGCCATATATACGTTTACTTTTCTTAATTCATATAGAAGATTCTTTATTTGTTGAACAAATCAAACAAATTGATGAACAATATATGTTAATACAAAATGAATTTTTTCTTTTTTATAATCATTATCAAACTCAAATACATTATTTGATAAAAACAAAATCGGAATATGATTATTTATGTCGACAAAAACAAGTTTTTAATCAAATTGATTTATTTTTGGATAATAAAACCGAGAAAAATATAGAAAAATATTTACAATATTGGTTTCATTATGAAAAACAATCAATTTCATATTTTCAACAATTAAAACAAACTGAGGTAAGTCATTTTTTTCTTACAATCAGTTCTAATCTATAGTTAATAGCGAATACAGACACATCCTATTACTGTAAAAATATTTTGTAAGAACTTTTAGTTATTTAAGACACGATTATTTTCTGTTTAAAATCATAGATATACATTGCTGATAATAAGAAAGAATGTTTGAAGAAACTCGTAGAACATTGAATCTATGAAAAGATAATATTTCTAACATTGTAATATTCATTCTTAATAACATTTTTCAATGATATGTCTATCATGAGAAAGAAATTATAATATTTTTTTTTCTCATGATAGGTTAGAATGTAGAAATGAATTTAATCTATGAATATTTACAAGTAATTCATTTTTGTTATATTAACAGAACAAATCATATATGTATATTTGTTATTTTAAACATATAAGATTTCTATTCATATCAGTAAATATACCATACATAAAAAATGCGCTTTTAATTAACTGATAAGATTTCTTCTCTCAGCTCGTTTAAGGTCAAGTTTTAATGTAACCAATTTTCATCGATATTTATTGTTACAATCAGGTAGATTTATGCGCAACGATCAGATCGTGTGATGTGATTATTTATAAAGATCAGCATGAGTTTCATTTTTACAAAAGCTAAATAAATGACTAAATCCATGCGAGTTTATAAGGAGAACACGAGCATATTTCTATATCAACCCTTTCGTTACGATAGTACGAGAAGAGCTACACACGTTTTTAATTATTCTTTTTTATGATAAAATTCACAGAAATCGGTGTGCGATCTCTTGAAAGCAATTTAAACAGGGTATTGTAGGGAAGTGTGTGTATGTAGGTGTGGGTTTCTCTTCTTCTTCGACCCCCACACTCACAATCACATCCTCAAAATTGTTCTTTGCTATTTCATGAAAATATTCGATAAGCTTTACAGTTAATAAACGTCAGCAGTTAAAATTTCCGTTCAAGTATAGCAAGGCTCAGTATTACTTATATTTCATATATCAGATACGAAAATAGATGAATTACTTTTTACATATGTCCCTATCAGCCGTAAACTATAATTTTCAAAAAGGCAAGATCAGTCGCTTCATCATCCACCTCTCAATCCGTCACTGGTTCCTATCTCTAGAAACAGCTAGTAAAAGGATTTACTAAGTTTCAATGCCGAAAAAAAAATTCTGTAACGAAAGCGTTAAAGAAGAAACAATATCAGAGATTATCAGTCAAAATAGATTGCATTCTCTGCATTAATGAATTCCAGAGTCGGAGTTAACTTTTTCGATTCCGCATTTCACTACTCTACATGTATATATTTGTTTATTTGTTAATAGAATTTTGATTTAAATATTTTCAATGAAATTGAAACAAGTTGGAATGAATTAAAATATTCTACGACAATATTTGATCGTGATATATTATTTTATAATACATTTGAATCGGTACTTTATTATAATTATCAATGGATCGATTCATATATTCATCCAAATACTTGTTCATATCCATTTGTATCATTAACAATTCCATTTTATAATATTGAAAATCCAGATGAATATTTTTGTCAATTAATATCCTATTCAATAAATCCATTAATCAATGAAATTTATCTTGAAAAATGGCTTGAACAAACATCATCAACATCATTATTATATTATTTTAATATTCGTTCAACAAATGTACCATTTGGTTTATATGAAAAAATTCATAAACAAAATCATTTCTGGTCAAAATTCCTTTGGTTAAATGGTTCATTTTTACAATGTAATCGATCAAAACTTGAAGAATTTGTTCGAAATTGTTTAGAAGATAATGATTCTTCAATTAATTCTCAAAATCTTTCATTAGAATTAATTGAACAAAGTTTAAATAAAATTCAATTAATTCAACCACGTGGTGAAATTGATCCATTTATCTATGAACAAATAATAAATGATTATAAAATCAAATTTCAATCGGAAATATCATCGGAATATAATTTACGTATTGAATATCAACAACAATATGAATATTCATTAAATCTTACAATTCATCAATGGGAAAATCAGATGAAATTAATTTTAAATGAAATACAAATCGAACAAAATGATTTTTATCGTTTTAATAATGATCAATATCAAACATTAATTATTTATTTAACAAAACAATTAATTAATGAATTATTAAATAAAGATTTTCTTATTGAACAAATTTATAAGAAAAAAGATAAGAAAATTTATCGACAATGGAGAAAAAATATTGTGGAATTTTATCGAAATATAATTTTAGCAGAAAAATTTTATATTTATAGAGATGTAACAATGCCTGTAATGAAACAAATCTTTCAAATTATTTTAGCATTTGATTATCATTTTCAATTAAATAATGAAACAAATAAAAAGATTTTTCATCTATGTATTTTTCCATTTGAATTAAATCATTTCAATTTATATGATATTGCATTTGATTTATTTGAAAAAAGAACATTTGTTCAACAACAAATGACAACAGAACGTTTTACACAGTAAGATAATCTTCTTCTTTATTTTATTTCATATATAACAATCTATAGAATTCAGTGCACTAGTCACACTTTTTTTGTTTATGTATTGCAAGTTATGTATAATACAATACCTTTATATTACTGATAAGATACTGGGAAGAAATCATAGATTATGGTAGAAGATATGAATTCGGAGAAGAGTGTGAGGGTGGATAGGCTTGAAAGAGGATAGACACCCACTGTCATCCTGAAGACTAAAATTCCAAAATAGCCGATAAATTATTTTCTTTCATTATTTAATTATCATGTAAGACAATACTTCCGAAACTTTTAAAAACAATATATTTATAGAAACAAACACAAAGCTCGACTTCGTTTGCTAATTCTATTAAATCTAAAGTGCATTCTATATATTGCTATTAAAAGCAATTTATATTATCGATTTAGTGTTATAACGCAAATACTGTCAGTTTTAATCTTTAAAGACGAGTCGTATCGTTTAGTCTAAGCTGAACAATAGTCAACGAGGAGAATTTGATATTTCACATCTGCAATAAAGATAGAATTTACTAACTCGTAGGAGTCGAGTCTGAATAGACATTTACTTATATAAACTTTTTCTGTTTAGGTTTTTTGTATTAATTGCTGAATATCTTGTTGTTTCTTGTCATATAAATCATAATCGATCGATAAATTTTAATAATTTATTACAATCATATGTTGAAACAGTTCATTATTTATGGTCCGAAGAACAGCGACAAATCGATGAAGAAAAACGTATATCATCAAGTATCTATCGTCATGAAATAAGTGAACTTGAAAGTGAACAAGATGATTATGAATATAAACGTTTATTTCCATCATTTGACTCTGAATTTCAAGATTTTTTTCCAATGAATCAAAATGTTGACAATGAAGATATTAAACCAGATGAAGAAAAAACACAAAAATCTTCAATTCTCCCATATTTTCTTCTATATGAATATTTTTCATTAATTCTTAATAATGAAAAAAATTCTTTAAATAATTTTCTTCAACCATTTTTCAATAGTATTTATGAATTTGGTGAAGATAATCGTTTAATAACTCATATGATTCGTCTATCAATTGAATCCAAAGAGAATTTCTCCAATTATATTTTAAATCTTAATAAACCATTTGATATTTATCAAGATTCCAAACCATCAATGATAATTGAATGTTATCCATTATTATCTACAATTGAACAACGTACAATAAATCTTTTAATAACACATGAAAATCATCCAACATTAAATGAAATTCTTCTTGTTATTAAACGTATAAAATCATTTTCAATAAAAAATTCTTTAATTAAATTTCTCTATGGTTTTGATATACTTTTTGATAAATTAAATTATTGGCAACATACATATGCATCGAAAACTCTTCAAACAACATTTGATGAACAAATGGAACAATTAACAGTAATAATAATTAAATTTCGTAAATATGAATTTAATTGTTACGAACAATCATTATCAATGATTGATTATAATCAACGTAAAACAACAATTGAAAATTGGTGGTTACATTTATTTGGTATAATGAATTCGAAAAATGATTTAGTTTTATTTGAAAAAATTTTACATGAATTTATTCATAAAGCTACTCTTGGTGATTTTCAAATACGTTTAGAAATTTTTCAATTATTTTCCAAATATTTTCATAATGAAAATATTTTAATATTAAATTCAATATTAAAATATTATCAACAATTTTCTGAATATATTGAAAATGAAAAACAAATTTTAAGAAAACCAATTGAAAATGATATTAAAAAATTTTTAAAAATTCAACAATGGAAAGATACAAATTATTATGCACTTAAACAATCGATTGATAAATCACATAAATATTTATTTAAATCAATTAAAAAATATAAACAATTACTTAATCAACCAATTGAAAAATATTTTTCAACATATCAAATTAAGTTTCAAGATGATAATCAAGATTTTTTCCGTTTAATACAAATAAGATATAATAAAAAATTCTTTAATTTAAATTCAACTACATTATTTAATTCAATTAAAAGTGATACCAATTCTCTTAAACAATTGTCAACAACAATTAGTTCGATGAATATTAAAACAAATGATCGAAAAGAACTTAAACAGTTATATACAGAAAAACGTCAATTGTTAACACAATTATTTAAAAAATTAACATCAATTGGTTTAGCATTTCGTAAAGGTTTAGTATATTTAAATAAACAAACATTAAATACAATTGAATCCGTTGAATTAAAATATTTTGAAATTAATTTAAAACATAATTATGGAATCATTGAAACAAAGAAAAAGAAAAAATTAATTATTGAAAATCGTTCAGATACATTAGAAAAATTTTCTGGAATTTTTCTACAAACAGATAAAAATTATTATAAAATTCTTTATCAACATCATCAATTGAAAATTCATTCACAAAAAAATTCTATTGATCCAGTTATATATCAACGTATACAAGGTTTTACCGAACATTTAATAAAATTAATTTATCAACAAAAAATTCTTTTAAATTCATTTTTAAAACAATATCAAGAATTTTCAAAACAATTTATTATTTATTCAAAACAAAATTTTCAATATCAATTTAAAGATTTAAATCATGTTGATCAATTATATCATTTAACAAGTTCATTAATTGAAAGAAGTTATTCATTTTTATTAATTATTCGTTCAATACCATCAAATTCAGCGGAAAATATTCCAATTATTGATAAATTACCGAATTATATACAATTATTAAATACAAATGATTTCAAAGATTTATTAGAAAAGTTTTTAGAAAGATTATATTTATTAATCGAGAAATTAAATCAATTTTATGATAATGTTATTGATTATCATCCATTATTAAAAGATATTAACAATTTACATCAAGAAATTTGTTTAACCAAACAACAAATACAAAATGTTATGGAAAAATTATTTGTCGATGAAAAGAATTTTCCAAATGATATGTTTATTGGACAATTAGTTAAGAATTTTATTGAAATTTATGAACTATTTTCACAAATTAATATTCTTAAACAAGAAAAAGGTATAGTTTGCTTTTCTTCTCTCACATGAAAATTATAGAATAAATCGAATCTTTTTAATAATTATAAATAAGCCTCTTTGGATGGATATAAGCAACTCTCTAATTATAAAAAATAATATTTTACGAGGAAAGGTGCCAGGTATAGACTCCATTTTCTGACCACTTGCACACCTCATTGACGTACGAGAAACTTTAAATGGATTTATTCTCGAAATGTGATTATTTTACTGGATCTTCGATTGAGGACACGACACTTCACACGGAAATAGATCTAATGATACCTGCAATATTCCTAAAGTTTCAATCGAAACCAATGCTTCCTTCGCGAAATGGTTCGTTTTGAAAGAAATCGTGATTTTAGAATATTTTGTTAAAATATGAGTATTTACTGGAAAATTAGTAACTTCCTAAGGAAACATCCGGTTTGCATAAAACTTTAGGAATATTCTAGGCATCATTAGATCTATTTTGGGGCGAAATCCCATACCCTCAATCAGACATCCCGTACTAGTATTTAGATGTAGAAATATATCATTCATCAATCTATATATATAAATTCTCAAACATAATACTAATAGACGATATTTATACACTATATAATCTTGATGCATTAGCAGTTAATTTAGACAAAAAAAATCATTGTTTATTTTAACAGCTTAACAACACAAAAGTAAGCGTAATAGAGCTTACAAATCTGATTATAGAACTGAGTTTGTCTAGTGCCCCTCGGACGACGCTATTATTTTAAACTTCTTAGATTTTATGTTATAATTACAAATGTGTTTTGAATGGAAACATTTTCCGATTACTTATTAAAATATCAAGGGAAATACTCTTTGACATACATTTCGAGGTGAACCTTGCAGTACTATACTGAATTATTAACAACTAAAATAATAGAATGCAATACAAACAATCGCATATACTTCAACCAATAACATCAATTAGACTCAATGATTTCTCTGTAAAAAGATTAGAATTATTTTTGGAGATTAGTCAAAATAAAAAACAAAAAAAAATATATCACGAAATGAGATAAAGTAATTGACCTTATTTCAGATTTTTTTAAGGGAAAGGATGAATACCGAAAGAATATCTGCCTGTTAATAGTTCTCTAAATATACAAGGAATATCATTTTATGATTTTTTACTATTGTTTTATTCATATAGATTCAATTCCATCGGTCAATTCAAAACCAATACGTCGTTATACAAAACGTTTAATAACCACATTGAGTGATATATCTTCGATAACTCCACCAACTGATTCAACATCTTCCATGTGGCTTGTTCATATTTATAATTCTTTTAATAATTATATAACTCAATTTGATCTTCCAAATTTAACAAAATTAATTCCTAAATCAATAACATCAAAATCAATAACATTCTTTCATCAAATACATTTATTAGTTGAACAATTATTATATCGTTTTATATATTATCATTATTCGACATCACAAATCTATTTATCATTAAGTAATACATTTATAAGTTTATTACGTGATGGTTTTCAAATGCCACCAGAAGAAAGTGAAGATGATAAAAATGGTGAAGAACAAAAAACTGAAGGTGGTGTATCTGGTATGGGTGATGGACAAGTAGGAAAAGATGCTAAAGATGTTTCAGATCAAATTGAAACAGAAGATCAATTAGATGAAGCGAAAATGCCTGGACAAGAAAAAGAAGATAATGATGAAAAAACGGATGATCAACAAAATGTTGATGAAGAAAAAAATGGTATTGAAGTTTCATTTGATTTTGAAGCACCAGCGGATGATCCATCAAAAGGGTAAAATACAAAAGTTTCTTTTCGAAACAAATAAAACACCTAAAATTTCTTTTTTTTAGAGAAAATGAAGATGAAGAAAACGATGATGATGAAGATAATGCAAGTGAAACAAATGATGATAATATTGAAGATCAAATGGGTGATGTCGATGAAGATGATCAAGGTGAAATATTTGATGAGAAAAAATGGGGTGACGAAGATAAACAAGATGAAGAAGACGAAAAAGATGAAGATAAAAAAGTAAATTTGAATAAAAAAAAGAATTTTTTAAACTGGATATTAATTTATATATTTTTCTAGAAACCAAATGAAACTGATAAAGCTACTGGCAAAGATAAAGAAAAACGTGAGGGTCTTTCAGCTAAAGATGATCAATTAGATTTAGCTGATGAAGATATTGAAGATAATCCTGATGCAAATACAAATTATGATGATCAACAAGTTGAAACATCAAATAATGATTTAAATGCTGAAGAACCACCATTAGAACTTCCAGATAATATGGATTTAGATGGTGGTGATGAAAAAGAAGAAGCAAATGAAGATAATCCAGATGAGATAAATCCTCAAGAAGATGAAAATACTGAATTACCAAATGATGAAAATATGGATAATGAAGAGCAAATCGAAGAAGAAGAAGGAGGAAAAGAAGATGAAAATGATAAAATAAATTCAAGTAAAAATCCAATACCTGATGATATTCCTGATCAAGAACAAGAACAACTTGAACAATCATCTTTAACACAAGATAAAACATCAAATATTGATTCCGCCAATCAACCAAATCAACTTGAAAAAACTTTTGCAAATGCCGAAACATTTGAAGAAGAACAAAAAAAACAAGAAAATATTGGTGAATCATCATCATCAACAAAAACATCGCAAACACAACAAATATCATCAAATGAACAAAATCAATTAACACAACAATTAGATAAAAATTTACAAACAGAAAATAATAATAAAACATCAAATCAATCCAATGAACAACGAACATTAAGTGAAATAGCTTCATTAATTGATAAAAATTTAAAAGCAGCACTTGATATTGAACAACTTGATGAAGATGAAAATAAGATTGATGATATACCACAATTAGAACAAGATGATCAACAAACACAAATTTATGCACATGCTAAAAATATTCCAAAAGATCTTCAACAACAAAAACAAATTCTTGATTCAGCAACTGATCAACAAGCAAAAAATTTTAATGAGCAAGAGAATGTTGAAACAGCAGAACCTGAACCAATGATTATTGATAATCAAGAAGAAGAAAAAGAAGAAGAACAATCAAAACCACTATCTTCAACATTACAAAAAGAACCAATAAATAAAAATAAATCATCTTCCATACATGATCAACCATCATCATCAGCATTAACTGAAGAACAAAATGAAATGATAACAATTGATAAACCTTATATTCCAACAACAACAGTTGAACATCAATTTGATTATACAGCACATGTTAAACCAATAACAAATGATTTAACTGAACAAATTGAATATCAATTAGAAGAATGGTATACACATTCAAATGAAAATCTTCCAGATGAAGGTAATAATGCTGAACAACTTTGGACACAATTAGAATATCTAACACAACCATATGTTTTTGAATTATGTGAACAACTTCGTCTTTTACTTGAACCAACACAACGAACAAAATATTCAGGAGATTATCGAACTGGAAAACGTTTAAATATGAAACGTATTATTTCATATATAGCATCGGATTTTCGTAAAGATAGAATTTGGTTAAGACGTTTAAAACCATCGAAAAGACAATATCAATTAATATTAGCTATTGATGACAGTCAATCGATGGATAATTTACAAGTTAAACGTTTAGCTTTAGAATCTTTAATTTTACTTGGACAAACATTAAATTTATTAGATATTGGACAATTTGGTATTGTTTCATTTGGACAATATATTAAAACATTACAACCATTAAATCAAACATTTAATCATGAAAATGGTATTCATGTACTTAAACAATTGAAATTTGATCAAACTAAAACACTTTTAGCAGATGTAAGATTTACTTTTATTTTTTTCATATAAAAAAATTCCCTTTTTATTTAATTCTATAGCTTATGGAATCAGTTACACATACATTCAGTAAAGAAAAAATTCAGACATCAAATCCATTATCTCAATTATTAATAATTTTATCTGATGGTCGTGGTTTAACTGTATCGGGTAAAGATCGTTTATTAAAAAGTGTTCGTCATGCTATGTCACAAAATATATTCATTGTTTTTGTTATTCTTGATAATATTAATCATGAAAAATCTACATCAATCTTTCAAATAAATGAAGCTATATTCAATGGTGATAAGGTATTTAAGAGAAGAAAAATTAAAAAAAAAAACAGAAAAAAAAAATATTTCTATTTATTTAGGTGGAATTTCGTTCATATTTGGATAGCTTTCCATTTCCTTATTATTTAGTAATACAAAATTTGGAAATGTTACCCCGTGCTTTAATTGATGTATTAAGACAATTTCTTGAATTGACTACTACTAATAACAACAGCAATCAGTGATGTTGTTTATTGTTTTGTTATAATTGATTTGTTATCTTTTTTTTCTGTGTTTTGTTTGGACTTGTTTTTTTTTTGTTATTAAACAAACAAAATAATTCTAAGTTGTCTTTTTTTCCTTTCCACTGAGATCAACTGTCAATAATTGTATACTTATTTTTTTGGTTAAGTATTTCCCCAAGGAAACTATTCACAATAATATTACTAGAAATTATATATTCAACGAGAAAAAAGAGAAAAATAATCTAGTTATGTAGTAATCATGCTTTGTGAGGAGAAAAAGAAGTAATTTATTAGTAGAGTATTAAATAAAAATAAATGGTTAGATACATTTTAAAAAGATAAGCTTTTTTTCCTTTTATTCAATTAGAATTTCTATTCGAAAATTGATAGGAGAAAAAGAATCATAGTTTAATGGTTTGTATGTTTAGGAAGTACAAAGTAGATCCGTTTTGTTTATAAATGGCATTAGCATTCATTTCATCTTCTCAGCATGGTCATTATTTTTTTTTTCTTCTAACTATGTCGTTTCTCTTGTTGAAGTATATAGTAAGACAATCAAGTCTATTTTATGACATGTCCTTCGTTTTTTCTTTTTCTTCTTTTTTTGGCGTATCTTTAAGTACCACAGATATGTCATAACGACCGAATAAATTTCTCTATTTGTTAAGTATATCAAACAATATAACGTGTTGGGTAAAAAATTCCATAATAGAAAAAAAAAGAAAATATTTTTTCTTCTCTCAGGCTATTCGATTCAATTCAAATAATTTATTATTAAAATAAATAATTTTGTTTCTCTTTTTTTTTAGATGAAAAAAAAATCGATTACGATTTGTTATTCTATCAAAACATATTTCTTCGTCATATTTGATGATCATCTTAAGTATCATTCTGTTTTCGATTGATAATAATATTTCCATTTTATGTCATCGTAGAAATACTACGATGATATCAACACACAATATTTGAATAATATTGTTATATATGTTAATTGAATTAAGCATCATTCGACTCTCTTTTTTTTTCTATAAACTTTTAGGATATTTTTTTTAATCATATAAACTCAAAGTCCTTGACCAAAGTATCCAAAAATGGAAATTTAATAGTTTTTTTTTTTTATAAATATTAAATGTCGAATAATTAGAAAGACTGTAAAATCTTTTTTTGCTCTATATATTCATAATTTAATACATCTGCCATTTTTTTTATCTTATATAAAAGATAAGAAGTTTCATGACTTGTCTATTAATTATAAAGAAGATTTCTTTTTCCTGACAAATTTAATCGAAATCTCTAGTGTTAAATATAATGTATCGTTTGTTAGATAATGAAAGGAAAACAATTCAATGATTTTTTTTTCTCTCTATCTTATTAAGTTTTATATTGGCGTCTATGACAGACGTAGTTTCTATACTTAGAAGAAGAAGAAGACGATAAAATTCTATAAAATCTCTAGGCTGTCACCTCTGTCTATATGAATAGATGGTACTGAGTTGTGTACGTTAAAAGAATATTTTTCCCCTTTTTCCTTCCGGAAAATAGAAAAGAAAAACCACATAAGGGAATAAAGGATTGACAAAAGATTTTTTTCCTCTCGTTTTTTTCCTCTTTTTTTCTCCTGATTTATACGACAAAGTTTCCGTACTTTCTTAGTCTTCGTCTTTTAAGAAATAAGGAGAACTAACAAGCGATAGTAGACTGATGAATAACGAAGAGTTTTGTCAAGACAAGAAAAGAAAGGAAAAAAAAAACGCAAAGCAAAAAAAAAAAAAGCTAGAATAGAAAGAACGAGTAAATGGATGTAACGTCTAACTGATACTTGTTGTTGATGGTAGAAACATTTCTTCCTCTTCTTATTTGTTAATTAACAAACTTCGTGTTTAGACCATTCGAGTTATTTACGAATAAAAAACAAATTGATTTGCCTATTCTTTCTTTCTTTTTTCTATATATGTATTAATTTCTTCATATATAAAAGTAATTTTTTAATATTCTTTTCAGATAATTTCTACGCGTGATCGATCGTATACGTTTCTTTTTCGGTAAGAGAATTTCTATCTCAAGCATCATTATCATCAAAGAGAAATATATATCAATTTGTGGTCTATTCATATCTAGAGTAATAATTTAACAAGCTTTTAAATAGGAGTTTCTATATTAAGTATATGAAGGAAAAAAAAGAAGAAGAATGAGAGACGAAAAACCAGATATGTTTTATCATGCGAATATTTAGTGAAGAATGTAATGCATGATGTGGATAATAATATAGCATAAAATGCTCATTCAATCGAAATCAAATTAGATACGTAGATATATTCATCTTCGAGAAATATTCGATTGTCTTTTTTTGTTTTCTTCAATACTACAAACATTTCTCACGTCTTAGAAGAAGCAGTATTATTCGGAATACATCTTTTTTGGAATTGTTGTTGTTGTTATTGTTGCTTGTAGACAATTACTGATTGTAAATGATAAGATATATGAATAGAAAAAAAGATATGTCGAGAAAAAGAAAGATTATCGATGTAGGACCTTTTCTTTCGTATTGTTTTGACCATCATTGTTCTATTAGTTTCATGATAATTTTGTTTTCATTTTGATTGAAAAACGAGTTTTTAAACGAGCAGACGATCAAGTGTAAAGAATAAAGATCGTTAGGAAAACGAGAGTATAACGACTAAAAAAGAAATAATTGTTAACAGCTATTCATACTGTTTTCTATCAAGGGACTTCGCTTACTATAACAATATATTCTTCTTCTTCATTTTTTCTCTTTTTTTTCTCTCGGCTCTTCTTCATTATATGTATGACGAGAGTGATTTTTCTTTTTTTTTATATACACAAGATAGATAGAGATATATATAAGGCGACAGCAACTTAGACTTGCTGTATATATATATATTTTTTTTTCATCGATTTACTCATTCAACTTACACTCCTTTCAAAATCTAAACTATTATCATGTTGTAAGTAATATATATATATATTTATATATGCATATGAAAAGGAAAGTGAATGATGTTGATGTGTTGATTAAATTTTTTTTTAACTCCTAGCTTTCTCAATGAAGCAAAAGCCGGAAGTATTAAGCATCTCCTGTCAGTTTGATCGTCTATACACGTTTTCTTTCTTATTATAAGAAAAAGAAAAAGAAAAACCCAAATCACCACAAGTAATATATTAAATCAGGCGTAATAGACATGTATACAGGTAAAGAGTAACGATGAGAAAAAACAGATTACACACTCATTTTTGCTAGTCATGCCTCGCTAGTTATTCAGCGTATGTTAAATATATATCAAGATAATATAAGGGTCCTTTCATGTCTATTTCATAGGGTTGAAATAATTCAATCAAAAATTCTTTGTTTAGTCTTATTTTTCGCGATTCAAAAGATGTAAGGTAAAATTTCATTGTTAACATTCGTTTTTTTCCAACAGCTGTTGTTATAATTTCGCTTTTTTTAAAAGAAAAACTTTATCATAATTCGTGAGAAGAGACAGCTGTTGTGAAAGAACACCAAAACAAAATAAGATAACCATCGTTTGTTTTTGTGATTACGATTATAAAATATATTTTTTACTTTAGAAGAGTTAAACAAAAAATAAAATCAGTATAAAGATTCTTATCATATTTATATTAGTTATTTTTCCTCTAACGGTCTAGATATATAAAATATTGACATGAATGATTGATTTTTATTTGTTAAGACTAACTGATTTTTATTTACGAGCAATAAGAAATATATATATGTATACATTTTCACGTTTTTCTTTTTATTTCTTTAGTAGTTATAATAATTTTCATCGACATTTCCTGTTGTTTATTTAAAAGAATTATTTTTCATTCTGTAAATGTCATCCATATTGATAAAACCATAATTTTTTTGTGTTACTACAACGAATTCTCAGTAGGAGAAAGAGTGAGAGAGAGAGAGAGAGAGAAAAAAAACTAATGGATGTGAAGAGGTAAGAAGGAAGAAAATGACACTTGTGCCGACGACATGAGAGAGAAAAAAAAGTTTGACGACTATTCTTCCATCATAAAAACTAAATAAAACTTTAAATCAACGTCATGTGGTACGCATTTTTTTTCCTTTTTCTTCATCTTTCTCGAGATTTTTAAATCAATTTATTGTTTTTTTGTCACTTACATTCATATTTATGTCTATAAAAGTCATTTACTTATTTTATCATTCTTTTTCGTTACGCCCATATGAAAATTCCTATACATCTATGAGACTCGTGGCGATGAGAACGACAACACTATTATCATCATCAATAACAACAAAAACGAGAAAGAGAAAATAGTAGTAACTCCGAATTTTTCTATCTCTATATTCCATATACACTATTGTGTCGTTTATTATTGAGGCACATCGCTTGAAGCACCAGCAACAGTTGCAGTTATAGTAGTAGCGGATATGACTCGTTTTTTGCGCTCTTTTTTCTCTTTCTCGGCCTTGGTTGATTCTGTCTCTCTCTCTCACACACACACACACACACGCGCGCGCACTATTGAGAGGAGAACATTTTTTTATTGTGTTCTGTTCTATGCTGACGGTTGCCACTATCGTTCGGCATACTACAATTCAATTGCGTTTTCTCTTTTTTTTTTTTTACTGTTAGTTTTCTTCTTATTATTAATATATATATGTGTGTATATATATATATATTTTAGGCTTCCATCGATCATCACATCTAAGGAAATAACTAATCATGGTCGACAACGCATCGTCGTCCGAACAGACGGTACGCGATTGTGAAGCTTACATAGCTAAACATGATATCCAAAATTTACTACGTGATTGTATTGTCCAATTATGTTTAAAAAAGCCATCAAATCCAATACAATTTCTTTCTAATTATTTCGATAAACTTGATAGTCAACCACCATCAACAACAACAAAAAAATCCAGTATGCGTCAACAACAAACAGCATCACCAATTGAACAAACAAGTAAACAACAATCAACAAATGGTAGTGTTGCCGGTGAAAAT